TGAAGCTGAGCCAACTGCGGACGCCGATACACTAGACATGCAATTCAAATTCTTTAACCGATAGTTCATAGAAGCAGTATTGCCGACTGCTGGTGAAACATCGCGGCCGTGAGCTGCGAATCAATGGTTGCTGGGCCCTCGCCCCCCTCCCTTGGCCTCGCCTTTGGTGCCCTTCATGCCCTTTGCCCCCTTCATGCCGGCGGACGCCCGGGCCAGCAGGTCGTTGCGCGTGTTCCCCAGCTTTTTGACGGCGGCGTGGTCGTGCAGCTCCTTCCACGTAGCCCACTCCCCCTGCCACTCGTGGACAACGCCGTCTGAAGACACATGCACTGTCAGAGCATGTTCCCCGCCTGCCGTCATGATATACGGGGCCTCCTCCGTGATGGAGATGGCGTGCGGGACGGTCCACTCCGTCTTGAGAAAGCGCTTGAGTCCGAAGCAGTAGTTTCTGGCAGCGCGATCTGCTGGGAACCTATCCTGGCTGGCCCAGACACGCTTCTGGCCACTGTGTAGGCCCGCGCGTCGGAGTAGCTCAACAGCAAGACCCCGCTCAGCCGAAGAAGCGAACTCCGCGAAGAGGATCCCCTTGAACTCGCCCTTGCTGTAGATCTTCAGGGGTAGAGGGGCGCCCAAGGTCTGCAGCTTGTCCTTGGTCCAGGTCATCGCGTCCTCCAGGTTAGTGAGCCCGTCCAGGTTCCCCATGACCGCCGTCAATGCCCGCCTGTCCGTGTACCCCCCCGGTGGAGACCTCGAGGTAGGTTGGGCAGGAGTCTCATGCACATACATATTTCTGAATGCACTCACGGATCTTACTCTCGAAGCGGTCGTCGTCCATGCCCTGGTGTTTGTGCAGGTCTTCGTACATCGACTCGAGCTTCTCCACCCTCACGTCGGTTACGGTGATGCGCTTCTCCAGGGACTCCAGGCGCTCGAACAGCGCGGTGCTCAGGTCTGTGATGTTGGTGTCCATCTTGGCACACTTCTTCTGCAGCTGCGACACGGCCGAAGTGACTGGCGCGAACTGCTGTTGGAGGAGTGTCGCCATGGCTGCCATGGTCACCGGCTCCTGCGCGGATATGTAGTCTTCCTTGTCCTCCTCCTTCTCCTCGTCCTCATCCATGCGGTAGTAGGTCGCCTCTGCATGCTCTCGTTCGGCTCCCTCGCCAAGCAGTGGCGAGTGGGGTCCTTGTCCCGTGCGGGCGAACTTCATCTTCTCCCACGGGTTCATGGTGAGCACGTCGCGGACAGGAGTACCTGCAAGGCGAGTGCTCCGAGGCCCTGGAGGTGGGGACTGGACTCCGACATCGCTCAGGACTTTCGTCAGCTCAGCATCAAGGTTCAAAGGGACACGTGTGCCATCGGCGCTGGAGGACGCCATCGGGGCTACGGAATGAACGATAGGTTCCCGGGCACGGGTCTCGAAGGCGTCCCGGACGCGGGTCTTTGAGGGGTCTTTGAGGGGTTTTGAGGGGTCTTGAGCCAGAACTTGAGCCAGAACTTGAGCCAAAAAGTCGGATCGATATAGACCTGGTGAGGACTTTCAAGCCTTGGGAAACTTCTGGAGTCCTATGAACGATACGCGAAACCGCGCAATATCCTCGATCTCACATCCAGGGCACTCCGCGTGCGTCCGCGAATCAGGGGCTCCCTTCGGAGATCCCTGAACGGAGGCGCTCCTCTGGCCCCGGCGAGCTCTAGCCACGAAGCGGCCCCCCGACATGCTCAGATTCAAGCAGCGGCTCGAGAATTAGAGCCCGCCTGAACCCAAAATCAACGTTTTCCGATTCGGCGTTGCGACATTGGGCGGAAGCGGGGGGGGGGGGGAGGGGGGGAGTCTGGCTCCGGACCTCTGCTTAGTGGGACAGCAACAGTGCGTCATGTACCTGCTCGAAACAGGCGCCAAAAACAGCCAAGATCTACTCCAGGCAGGGGGGGAGAGGGGAGTGCGAGGGCCCGCGCCGATCGGCAAAACAACGAATATGATAACTATCACAAGAGCAGACTGTTCGACAGTATACGGTCAGGAACTTCTGCACAGCGTGTTGCGGCGGCGGCCCTGGCGACACGCTATGTCTTGCGAACGGATGGCGTGTCGCTTCGCTCCGCGGGGCGGTAGGCCTGGGAAAACTCGAGACGTTGACGCCCGAGAGTGGGGACGTGGACAGCTTGTCGAGCCAAAGCGCGGTGGGCCGGAACCGGCGGAGCGACACGCTGAGCCAAAGCTCCTGACCTTATTGCAGTTCTTTGACTGTGTGGGTGGAGGGAATGGGCGGGAGGCGCGGGGGAGGGAGTGGAGAGTGGCAGGGCGATGGGGCGGGGATCGGGGGGGTGGAGGAGCATAGGAGGCGGAAAGGGGATGGGGGAGGAGGGGGGGTTCACTCGCAACAACAGGACACGAGGGAACGCAATCTGATTAACCAAGAAAAGATCCCTAACCCTTTTGGGAGGGGACCTAAGTGAGGAGGACCAGAAACAGGAAGGGATAGGGGGGTCCTTTCGACAGATCTATTATCCCTGATGTGAAGACGGAGGCCTTAGTGAGGCCACGTCTTCATCGTGCTATCAGGTTTAGGGGTCGTTCTGTTCTCAACGATGGTTGGGGAATCAGAACTGCCCATACCGCTGCTCCGTGGGCCTCTCTTTGGGTGCGTTCTGACCAGGATGCCGCAGCGAATCCGGCCGCGGCGACGAGGGATGGGCAGCGGTATCGGGATCTCTTCCTCGGAGCGATGAGAACAGGTGTTGGCGGGGGGGCACCCTTGTCTCCACCTGACCCCGATCCCACTGCGATCCGCCCGACATCAAACACAATGCGGATTGCGGGCTCCGACCGTCGTCGCACCTGGACCCCGTCGATCTTCCGAACTCAAACACCGTGCGGATCACGGACCCCGAGCGTCGGGATGCAGAGCAGCTGCAGAGCTCTTGACTACGCCAATCAGTCTCGTGGCCTCGAGAGCCTCGGTCTGCAGCCTCGAGGTACCTGAGATCGGTCTCATATACTCGACTTGTGCTCGAAAAACCAATACCACTCTGCAGCCTCTTTGCTGCTCAATCGAGCGTTTTTTTTGACACCACCTCGCCTGGCCCCGACCCGATCCCAGTCCGACCCAGGAGTCGTGGCTTGCGTCCCCGATAAGTGTGCGCGGTGGCCAGGCGGGGCGCCAGGCGCGGAGCCTCCCCGTACAGCTCCTGGTGCCCGGCGAGCGCCCGCCCCTGGGTCGCCGCGGGGGGCGCGGCGGGCTGGCCAATCGCCGCCGTGGCACCGCACGTCGCCTCGAATCAAAGAGATTTTGCGCTAAGAGCCTTGGCCGGCTGCCGCTACACCCCCGCGTAGAGTGAAGGAGATGTCACCCCAAGAGAAATGGACTTCACTCCGAGCGCTTGCTTAGGCAGGAGTCCAGGTCCAGATGTGCGGACGCTCTGCGAACAAACAGGAGCTCCAGGAGAACGCCCAGGGTCCGGTCCAGATTCTTGAGTCTCTTCAGCGAAGTCTGGAGTCCATGAAAGTTGACGCGTTCTCTGAAGATGTCTGACGTTTGGGGGTGCTAGAGGTGCCTCAGGGTGCCCCCAGCGTCTCGCTCCATCCCATTCTGGAGCTCTTGGGACCCTCTGGGCCTCGCAAGGGGTGCCCCGCAGGCCGCGGGGGCCTCCCTGGAAATCCTGGAGGCACCTTGGGCCAGGGGCACTCCGGGCAACACCCGCAGGCAGGGCCGCGTGCATCTTGTGGCGCTGCCAACTTGCGGCAGTCACGCGCCCGTGCTGGCGGGCATGTCGCGTGACCGCTCTCGGGAACCCTCGGGCGCAATCCCCGGGGGCCCAACGGGGATGATGCAGCCCCGCGGGCTATGTGACCCCGTGTTGGCCATGGCCAACCGGTCCAGTACAGAGCCTCTGTGACGCGAACAAACTCGACGGCGGCACAGGGGGGGATAGCAAGGGGGAAGGGGGAGTCGCGAGTCATCGTCGTCGTCGTCGTCGTCTTCATCATCGTCGTCGCCGCCGTCGTCGTCGGCATCCTCGTCCTCGACGTCGTGGTTGTCGTCGTGCGTCGTCCGCCGTCGTCCATCGTTTTCCGTCGTCGTCGTCGTCGTCATCGTCTGTCGTCCGTCGTCGCCGCCGTCGTCGTCGTCGTCGTCGTCGTCGTCGTCGTCGTCGTCGTAGTTGTCGTGCGTCGTCGTCCATCGTTTTTTGTCGTCGTCATCGTCGTCTGTCGTCCGTCGTCGTCCTCCATCGTTGTCCGTCGTCGTCGTCGTTGTCGTCGTTTGTCGTCCGTCGCCGCCGCCGCCGCCGCCGCCGCCGCCGCCGCCGCCGTCGTCGTCGTCGTCGTCGTCGTCGTCGTCGTCGTCGTCGTCGTCGTCGTCGTCGTCGTCGTCGTCGTCGTCGTCGTCGTCATCATCGACCCTGTCTCCGTCCTCGTCGTCGTCGTCCTTTGTCCATCGTGGCCGTCGTCGTCCTCGCAGCCGTCGTCGTCGAGGCTCCGGACCTCCAATGAAAGAGTTCTGTACCCAAACCTCCTCGCGTCGTGACAGAACAACAAAAACAAGGATCGCTTTCATGTTGCAAACTCCAGCCTGCAGGCGCCCTTGCCAGGCCCCAGGGCCGTCAGAAATCGGACTGGGATAAAAGCTGGTCCTGGAGGACAGGAGGGCATCGACGAGGATGAGGACCGACGAGGGGAGGATCGACGAGGAACTCGCCCCCGTGAGGCCAAGGGAGGATGAGGACGACGACGATCGGCGATCGGCGGCGACGCGAGGGCGCGCCACCCTCCGCAGTGGCGCGACCCTGCGGTGAGAAGACGGATGTGGTTCTCCTCCATACGTGGTGATTTTGTTCGATGCGCTTTACCTGGAACTCTCCGCCCCTTCCCCAGGGTCGTATTGGTTGACCCGTCTTTGTTTGTTCGTTTGTCTGTTTGTGCATGTGCGTGCCCGTAGCCATTTTGGCTCCAGCCCTTTGGGTCAAGATGTCTCCTGGTGGTGCTCCCCCCCCCAGGGTCAGGGCTCGAGGTTGGCCAGCGCAGACTGGGCGGCGTGGCCAGGCTGCGCGCTCTGACCGCCTTCGCCTCGCCGTGAGATCCCTGCAAGCCCGGGCCAGCCGTCGGCGGCTGCAGTGGCGGGCGCACGCCGCGGCGGCTGCGCCAGCGCCTCCGTGGGCCCCCTGGCCGCCACTGCCGCCGCGGGCGCTGGGCGCGTCGGCGCCGCGAGCGCCGCGGGCGCCGCGGGTGCCGCGGGCGCCGCGGGCGCCGCGCGCGCTGGCGCCGCCGGCGCCTCGGGCGCCGCCGCCGCCGCTTGCGGGGGCTGCCCTGCCGCCCGTGGGGCTGGTGGCCGCGCGGCTGCCGCCTGCTGCGCCGCGGACGCTGCCGCCGCCACGGAGGCCACCGCCGACGCCAAGCTCCAGGGAACGGCGGCTGCGCTTGCGCGGGCGGCTGGGCACACTGCGGCCGCAGCGCGCGGCCCTGGCGCCGCGGCTGCTGGCGGCACTTGCGAGAGCAAGAAGAAGATGCGACACCCTGCCCGACTACGACGCTCAGCCCGATGCCCATCCCAACGCCAACGACGCCGAACCCCCTGGCCTGCCCGACGCCTCACTCCTACGCCTAGCCCAGCGCGATCAGCTACAGTGCCGGAACCAGAGAGTACGAGGTTGGTGAGCAGTGGCAGCGGGCAATGACGCTGTTCAGCGAGATGCTAGTCTCCAAGCCGGAGCCCGACGCCCAGCCCTACGCCCAGCCCTCCGCCCTGCCACACGACGCATCACCCTACGCCCAGCCCTCCGCCCTGCACGACGCCCAGCCCTCCGCCCTGCCCGACGCCTCACCCTACGCCCAGCCCGACGCGATCAGCTGCAGTGCCAGGATCAGCTATCAGTGCGAGAGCGGGGAGCAGTGGCAGCGAGCCAATGCTGCTGTTCAGGAAGATGCTGGGCACAAAGCGTGGGCCCGACGCGAGTAGCTACAGTTCTCGCATGAACGGGTGCGAGTTCGGGGTGCAGTGGCAGCGGGCTGTACCGCTGCTCAGCGAGGCGCGGGCGGTGGAGGTGGAGCCCCACGCGATCAGCTGCAGTGCCAGGACCTGCGAGCGCGAGGAGACGCTGGTTGCCGAATCAGAAGCCCACGCGATCAGCTGCTTACAGTGCCAGGCTCAGCGAAGGCGATCGGGCCGACCCCAAACCACGATCGATTACAGCGCGGGGACTCGCGAATGCTCTGCGAGAGGCTGGTTTCGGATTCCGAGCCCGAAGCGATCAACAGCGGAGGATCCGTGAGCACGGAGATGAATGGCAGCGGCAGCGACAGCGGGCCGCGCTGCCGCCACCCGACGCCCGGCCTGGCGCCGAGAGCTACGCCTCGCTCCACGCCCAGCACGACGCCCTGCCGTACGCCCAGCCCAACGCGTCCCCCGATACCCCGCCCCCTGTCTAACCCCACGCTGCCCCCGACGCTCCGCCCTCTTGACCCTTCATCCTCCGTCGCCTCATCCGACGCCCAGCCCGTCATTCGACCCGACACCGCGCCCCACGACGACGCTCAGCCCGATGCCCAGCCTCACGCCCAGCTCGATGCCTCGCCCCACGCTCAACCCGACGTCCAGCCTCGTGTCTCCCCTGTTTCCCCCGACCTCCCTCCCCACGACCCTCCCGACGGCCCACTCGACGCCAGACCTGACTCCTCACCCGAAGTGGTGCCCAACATGATCAGCTACAGTGCTGGGATCAGCTTTAAAGAAGATGGAGGGCAGTGGTAGCGGGCCGCACCGCTGCTCAGCGAGGCAATGGCTGCCACACGCGCGCCCAGCGCGATCAGTGCCGGGCTCAGCGAGTGCGAGAATGGAGAGCAGTGGCATCTCAACGAGATGCTGGGTTCAGAGTTCGAGCCCAAGGCGACCAGCTACAGTGCCGGGATCACTGAGCGCAAATATTCACCCCGCCCATCAGGAATCAGCCATTGCGAGCCCCGCGGGCTCTGGCAGATGTGTGGGCCGAGGCTGGAGTAGGGTCAGCTACAGCTCCAAAGTCAGGGATCGCGAACTCCGACGCCGCCTTTGACGCCGCCCTCGACGACGGCCACGACGTCATGCCTCACCTGGGCCGACGCTCCCTCCCCGACGCTTCCCCCGACAGCGCCCCAAACGACGTTTCCGACGCCGTTGCCTCCCCGGACGCCCACTCTCACTCTGCGGCTGCCCCCGGCGCCGCCCCAGACGGCGGCCACGGCGCTGTGCCGCCCCTGGGCCGACGCCCCCACTCCGACGCTGCCTCCGACTCTGCCCTCGACGCAGGCCACGACGCCGCACCGCGCCCTGGCCGACGCCCCCGCTTCGACGGCACCGCGGACGCCGCCCCCGACGACGTCCACGCCACCCGTGGCCGCCCCGTAGCCGCTCGGGGTGTCCAGCGAGGACTCGCCGCGTCCCCGCCCGCTGCCGCCCATGACCGCCTCGTGGCCGCCCGTGGTCCCTTGGGGCTGCCGGCGAGGATTCTCAGCGTTCCCGCCCGTGGCGGCCTCGTTGCCGCCTCTTGCGCTGGAGGTGGGTGCCCTGCGGCTTCGGCACGTTGCCGCCGATTGCCGCCTCGCTTGCCGCCTCGTTGCCACCCCGTGCGCTGGGCTGGTGTCCCGAGGACTCGCCACGTTGTCGCCCGTTGCCGCCTCGTTGCCGCCTTGGGCGCTGGATGGGTGCCCCGAGGATTCGCAACGTTCCTGCCCGTTGTCGCCTCGTTGCCGCCTCGTGCGCTCCTCCATCCAGTGGGGAGACGCGCAGGCGTCAAGATATTGTTTTTATTTTTTTCCAACGCGCAGGCGTCAAGAATACGAAAAGCCAGGTCCCATTCAGTGGGACCCAGCTGTCTGTCCGAGTCTTTGAGGACGCGAAGCGCTGCCGCATGGCTTCAACCACAAAGCCTCCACCGCCTAGCCTCGACCACATAGCTTCCGCCAGCATGTGAAAACTCACTGGTTGGGGCCCACGCTGGCGAACACGTGAATCAGTCCGAGTATGAGCGGATGGGTATGAGCGAGTCTGGGCGGGGCTGAATCTGAAGATCTGTTGCTGTGTATGAATGGCGGCTTTCGAGCGAATATGCGTATGAGTGGGTCTGAGTATGAATGGGCTTGTGTGCGACTGAATCTGCATGTGAGTGGATCTGCGCATGAGTCGCTGATACAGAGAGTCTCAATAAGAATGGGTCTGGGCATGAGCGGGTATGGTCAACAATCGATGTGAGATCTGGATCTGAGTACGTCTGCGTCGGATCGTCTGAGTCTGAATGGGTCCGAGCGCAACTCTGTCGGAGTAAGGGCTTGCGTGTGCATGGATGGGGTTATTTATGAGTAGGTTTGGGCATGAGTGAAGCGATCCTGGAATGTACTTGGGGCTTCATGGGGCCTCTTGGGACGTCCCAGGCAGCCCTGGGACTTCCTGGAGCTTGGGGCCTCCTGGGGTGTCCTGGGGCTCCCATATGCAACACGTCTGGTCGACCCCCCAACGGCAATGCCTGTTGCACCGCGATGATCATGGGGGCTCTTAGAAGGAGACTTGTCCCCCCAGAAAAAAAAAACAACGACAATTCTGCAAGAAAGGTCGGCCATCTGGGCACGAACGGACCCGTGGCATGTACACCCTGGCGGCTCCCTCTTGAGAGGCCCAACTGCCATGCCTGCTACACATAACGCTGGCCATGGGCTTCCGAGAAGAGACTCCTGTACAAATCAAAAAGATCGATTCGCCAGAAGGGTCCCGCTGGGCGCGAACGGGCCCGTGCAATGCCCTCCTGGGGCGGCGGTCTGCGCGCCACCCAACGCCTCAGTTACCAGTGTGGTCACTGCACCGTCCTGGGGCCCCCGAGGCGTATACCCCGCTGCGCAGCACCCCCGCGCGAGCCTCTGGGGTAGCCAGCGCCTCGCTCAGGCGAGCCGCGTGCTCCAGGGACACGCCGCGCTCCTCGGCAGGGATCGCGGGTCGAGGGGTCGCCGCCGCCGCCTGCGTCGTCGCCGTCGCTTCCAGCGTCGTCGTCAACGTCCACGTCGTCTTCGGCAGCCTCGCCGTCCTGGGCCACGTCGTCGTCCGCGTCATCGTCCTCGGCGCCGCCTTCGTCGTCGTCGCCAGCGTCGTCGTCGTCGTCGTCGTCGTCGTCGTCGTCGCCGCGGCCTTCGATCGTCAACGTCGTCTTCGTCGTTTATCCTCCGAGCCGGGCGTCGGTGCGGAGCTGGTGCACCTGGACTTCAGGGCGCATCTGAGGGTCGCCGCGACGCCCCCCTTGTCGGCCAAGCTTGCGGGCCGAGGGGGAAGACTGCAGAACGCGGCAGACCAAAGGGAACGCGTCCGTGAGGGGCAACGATGGCGGCAGAACGCGGCAGACCAAAGGGAACGCGTCCGTGAGGGAGCGGGGGGGATATATCGCCGATGATCGGCGATAGGCCCTGGAAGGGGTTGAAGGGCCCCCATCCCGATTGGGGGTCGCTGCTCCCCCGTCTGGGCCGGTCCCCACAATGTTGCCCCTGAATGCACCATTAACCCACCGGCAAGGAGCCCAGCTCGGGGCGCGGGTCCCGGCAGCCTTTGAACAGCCTGGCGTGCTGAGGCATGGCACCGCTGGTTGCCGAATGAACGCCTATGCCAGGCCTAGGCAGCACGACGTCGGAACGCCCCCCCCCACGCCCCCGCAAGGTTGATGGGGAAGCGATGAGCCCCTCGCAAGAAGTGGGCGTCTATTTCGCAACACTTCGCGCTCCCTTCTGGCACGGTCTCCCGCCAACTCCGAGATGCGGGGTATCAGGGGGCGGCCGTTTCTCGGGGGCGCGGCGGCGGAAGCCCGCGATCTCCCATGGAAGCGGGGCCCATGGCGAATCCGCGCCCCCTTGAATCCATGTTTGCGATCGCCTGAGATACGGCACGATCCCCCGACCCCATCTACGCTGGAGGAGGAGGAGGAGGAGGAGGAGGAGGAGGAGGAGGAGGAGGAGGAGGAGGGGAAGAGGAGGGGAGCAGGAGCAGGAGGAGGAGCAGGAGGAGGGGGAGAAGGAGGAGGAGGGGAGGAGGAGGGGGGAGGAAGGAGGAGGAAGGAGGAGGAGGATCCATGTCTGCGATCGCCGGACCTGTGCAGGCAGGGCGCTTACCGTCGGACTCGAGTGCGCAGGACACGCGAGAGGACACACGACCCTTCCGAGGTCCACGTCGCCATGGGCTCGCCATCGCTCGGACGTCCATTCCCTGTGTTTTTTTTTTTCGGTTTCGTGCGTGGTTTGTTCGCCAAATGATCAAGGATGCTCCTCGATGGTCCTCGCCGAAGGAAAAATGCACACGTCCGAGGGCCACATCGCCATAGGAGTGTAATCGGGGATGGACAGACCCCCCTTTAGCAAGACGTGGTTTAGTGACAACGACCCGAGGCCCAAACCTGGCAGGGCGCGAGCCTGGAAAATGACGGCCACGGCGCCCTCTCGAGAACCGACAACGGACAATCCACTAAGCGACGTGTCACTGTTGGGGGTTCTGTCCACCCCCGATGTAAGAAGGCACGTGTCGCGAAGCACAGGACACAAGGGCACCCTCGATGTGGCAGGGTCGACCTACTGATCCGGGCCGACTGTATGCCACCAGCGGTGGCACGGCGCAGCGTGCCCCGGCAGCTCTCCGTGAAATCTTCCAGGGGGCCCCGCCCCCCTCGAGCCACGCCGCGCGGCGGGCACCGTTCCCCTTTCGAGGATGACGAGGGTGCCCGACGCCCGCCGTCGCCGCCGCCGCCGCCGTCGTCGCCGCCGCCGCCGTCGTCGCCGCCGCCGCCGCCGCCGACGTCGTCGTCGTCGTCGTCGCCGTCGTCGTCGCCGTCGCCGTCAGGGTCGGCGGCGCTGGCCGTAAGGCCTTCGCAACATTCCCAGGCCGCCCCCCCCCCACTCGCCACCCGGTGCGGCGAGCACTGCTCCCCCTCCGTGGCTCCCTGGGCGGCCTGGCGCCGCCCTGGGACTCTGCAAGGCCCTCCAAGGCCTGCAAGACGGCCTGGGAATGACACCAAGGCCGCCACGATTGCCCAGCCCTCGCCGAAGCACCCGCCGACAAGACCCCAAGAGGCGCCAGAGGGACCCTCCACAACAGAGCGAAGACCAAGAGGCCCTCCAGGAAGGCCAGCATTATTCGAACACGTGTGCCTTCCATTGCTTTTTGTCTATGTTGCGCTCTTGGGGCCTCTCGACTCAAGATGTTTCCGAGAGGGCCCGCGAGGTGAGGAAGAGAAGCCAAAGGAGCCTAATGAGGGTCTCAAGGAAACGGCCGCAAAAGGACAGCCCAAGAGAGGCTCACGATGGTCCAAGAGACCTCCAACACAACCCAAAGAGACTTCCAAGAAAGCCAGCAGAGGCTCCAAACAGCCCAAGACGCCGCCAAGACGGCCCAAGACGACCCAACAGAGTCCTCAGAGGGACCTAACCAAGCCCATGGCAGCCTCAAGACGGCCCAGGTAGCCTCCTTGCTAGCCCCATCGAGGAATAGAGATAATGATTGTCACGCGCTGCGGCCATTCGTGGCGGTGCCCGATGCGCCGCCATTCTCGATTGGTCTCTTCGGGAAGCAACCCACACGTATCTCACCAGGTCGTTGGTCTAAGGTGGTCTGGCGGTATCTGGCTTTCCTCCTCCCGGATCCCTCTTCCTTTCGGGGGGAGGTGGCCCCCCTTCACTTCCTGAGGTATGTTTGAGGGTTCGCGAGGTGTCAGGGCGTCCTTGTTCGCCCAAGATGGTTCCAAGACAGCCTCATCTGCTCCAAGTTGGTGTCCGAGGCGGTCCAAAGTAGCCGAAAATGGTTCAAGCTAGCCCTGGACATGCCTCCAAGACACTTGACGAGGGCTGCAAGACGGCTCCAAGTGCTCTCGTAGCCCCCTCGAGACCCCTCCCCAAGAGGCCAACATCCTTCCAACACCGATGGGAAATCAATGAGTTGTGCCTCCTCGCCTTTTTGCTTCCGATGCGCTTTTGAGCGCTGAACATAGCCCCAAGATGGCCCAAGAGAGCCCCAATATGAGCAAAAGAGGCCCCCAAGACCGCCCCAAGAAGAGTGCCCAATATCGCCCCAAGAGCGCCACACGAGGGCCTCGAGGATTTTGAAGGCCCCAGAGGGGACCAAACGCTAGGACTCCCTTTTTTCACCGACGACCTCCATAGCCCCAAGAGGCCCCCCAGGGACCCCAAGAGGCCTCCAAGAGAGCCCCAAGAGAGCACCAAAAGGGTCCCAAGAGGGCCCCGAGACCCTCCAAAAGAGCTCCAAGAGGAACCCAAGACCCTTCAAAAGAGCCCCAACAGAGCTCCAGGAGGCGATTTTGAGTGCTCTGCCATCGTCCTCGTTATCCTCGTCCTTGCTCCCATCGTCTTCCTTTTCCTGTTCCTCATGTTCCTCGTTGTCGTCGTCGTCGTTGTCGTCGTCATGGTCGTCGTTGTGGTCTTTTTCTTCTTCCTCCTCCTCCTCCCCTCGCCCCCACGCGGGCCCTAGGGATGGCCCAAAGAGGCCCTCCAAGGCCACCCTGTAGGAATGCAGACGAGGGAGGCGGCAGGAAGACGTCGATGCGAGGGAAAGGTCCCTTCCCTCCTCCGCCTCGTTCTCCTACTTGGTCCTTTCATTCGGTCGCTTGGAGCTTCCTTGCGGTCGGCTGTGGCATGTCAAGGGCTCCAGGAGAGGGGGAATTATTGTGGCTTTCTGGCTGGCGACTGCGGCTTTGCCAAGCTCTTTCTCTCTCTCTCTCTCGCTCTCTCAACTCTCAGACGCATCTTGGGCCCTTTTGGATTGGCTGACGCCTATTAGGCCTTCCGTCCCGGGCCCTCTTGAGCGCCTCTTTGGGGATGGTCGGGGGGCCTTCTCGGGAGCCTTTGGGGGCGTCGTGGAATCCTCTTGGGAGCCTCTTGGCGCCCTCTGCGGGGCTCCTGTGACTTCAGAAACTTGTAGGAGCCATCTCCAACCGAACAACTGGAGTCGCTGTTGAGGTTTTCTGAGGCGACCTTGGGGCCGCCTCGATCGCCCGCTTTGTTGGAATGCTTGAAGCTTTGTGAAGGGCACGCTGGGGGAACGTCGACATACGTTGGATGTCATCGTTTCGCAAACTGTATGTTGACCGCTGTGAGCGAGAGCCAGAAACACGGGGGGGAATGTGAGATTTCAGACTATGTGGCGTGCGCTGTTCTCTCACGCGGGAATGCCTTTTTCGCGCGGCACCTCATGACGTGAGCATGCTTGCGTGCGCCGTTGAAGCGCGCGCCATCATCATCATCATCATCATCATCATCATCATCATCATCATCATCATCATCATCATCATCATCATCATCATCATCATCATCATCATCATCAGCATCATCATAATCATCACCAGCACGTTCATCATACTCATCATTCACATGCGTCCCTTCAACACCATCATCACCATAATGACCATCATCACCATGCTTTTCCTAACCTTCTTCCGCCTGCTGCTCGACACCATACCCCTCCTCACCATTGGCGAAACAAACGCCATCATACTTCGACCTTGTTTGCCTGGATAAACATCAACGGCCCTAAGAAATTGATGGTGAGAGTGAGATGAGGCAGAGAGCAAGATAATCATACAACAGTCGTGGACACGATGAGGGGAGCAAGATGTAGAGAATCAAGAAGTCTGTGAGGAACGGATTTCGGCATCGAAACCTCAAACCGTTATGATCCCTCGGAATGCCTCGCCCTGACAAAAGAGAGCACCAGTGACCCTTTACAATAGGAGACAGAAAAGAAACCGTACTCTGACAACCAATAAGATGCCCGTGCGATTCAAACCAGCAAGAACACAATGAAATATCAACGAAATTGGGCATTGATGCCGAAATCCGCTTCTCACAGATTTCCAATGATCTGCATCCTGCTCCGCCTCGTGTTTTCTCTTTCAGTGGTATCATGATCCGGCTCTCTGCCTCATCTCATGCTCG